TCTAATGTGGCGGCCTAAGGTGGCTGAGTCGTCCACTGACTTTTGGTGTTGTTGCTACGTTTTGTTTCATTTTTGTGATACTGAGGTTTGAACTCTCGGTCTCACACTTGCTATGCAGGTTCTTTATTCCTTGAACCACACCTCCTAGTCCTTTTTGCTTTAGTTAGTTGTCGGGATAGAGTCCCTGTTTTTTTTTTTCCCCAGTCCAGCAGGGACCATAATCCTTTCAGTTTCTCTTTCCTTATAGCATGGAATACAGGCTTGGGGCACCTAATTCAGAATGAGATCTCTCAAACTTTTTCTCTGGGCTGGCCTAGAACTGAAATCCTCCCAATTTCTGCCTCTCAAGGAGCTGGGATTACAAGTGTTTGCCACTGTGCCTAGCTTAGCTAGAGGAATTTGTAATGGCACAAACATATCCATTTAAAATTGCATAAGTGTGAGGCAAGCTTCTGCAATAAGAGTTATCTTTAATGTTTCTCTTTGAAACCTCTGCTCTAACTTATTAGAAGTGATTAGACTTAAGTATAGTGGTGTGAATACTGCAACATCCTACTTGTATCTAGTTAGAAATGGCCAGTTCAGAAATCCTGATGTGTAGAGGTATAGATGTCTCATTTGAAGCTTTTATGAGCTGAGTTTTTATTTTCTAACAAAAAAAATATGTAGACATGTGGTTGACTTGAAAAGCCCACAGACTGTGATTGGTTAGCAGATACAGAAAAGAGAAACACTCTAAAAATTCTTAAAGTGGCATTTGAGGGGGTGGGATTCTTACTTATCATAGGTTATGAGATCATTTCTTCCTTGAAAACAAGAATGAAACTAAAATATATTTCTCCCAGAGATAATAATTTCTGTGTTTCTTAAAGGCAAATGCAAAATATATTTGGATTAAGTCATTCTTTTATTAGAGGCTGTTTCCTGGCTCAAAAAAGTTACTTGAAGGAGCTGGAACTGATGACTCACGCCTGTTTTCCTAGCTACTTTGTAATACTGAGATCTAAGGATCATCCTTGGAAGACAGCCTGGACAGGAAAGGTCTGTGAACCTCTTATCTCCATTAAAACTACCAAAAAAAAAAAAAAGCTGAGAAGTAGAGCTGTGGCTCAAGTGGTAGAGTGCGAGCCTTGAGCAAAAGAAGCTCAAAGACAGTGCTCACACCCTGAGTTCAAACCCAGGACTAGCACCAAAAAAAAAAAAAATACTGAAAGGAGAAACAGAGCTCATTATCTCTCTTTTTGTTCCCTAAAGGTCCTTATGGATCTGGTCTAGGTAGGATGAGTTCTCAGGAGTACCATACTTGACAGTGGTGCTGGCAGATAGGGCGTGGGGATCTGGAGATTTCTGCACAAGCTTCTGGAAGCCAGGATCCTATTAGTGTGTAAGACTGTCATAAAAAAGACTGATGAACTCGATTTTGTCCCTTATCTCTTTTAAGGGGATCTGGTTTTCCTCTCACTCAGCATAACAGTCCTGCTTAAGCTGGAAGTCCTTGTGGTCTCATCCAGAGTTTGTTTTTCCTTGAGACCTTAATCCCCCATGTTGGCATGTTGAGTCCCCAAGCCAGTTCATAAAATCTTCATAACAACGACCTCAGTAGCTGACATCATTAAGGAAGTTGTGTGCCCAAATTCATACACACTTAATCAGAAACTTAAGAGTTCAACCCCATCACCTAGGAAAACAATTTGGCACCATCCTGTTTTCTAAGAAGTTAGGCCAGGCCTAAAGTAAATTGTTAATGAGCTTTATGAAAGCTGAGCAAGAAGGCAGATATGCCCTCTAGACCACCAAAGAGATTTGCTGTTGTGTTTACTCGAAAATAAAAGTATTAGAGCGGCCTTATTCTAAGTTTCTGGGGATAACTTGTTCCAAGGAATCCATCACTCCTAAATTTTCTCACATATTTTAGGAGATTTGCCAGGTAGCCAATTTTAGGATTCCTGATCTCAAAGATGTTAATAGAAGGAAACAAATTAAGCATGCTTCACTGATTATTTTCTCATTTTTCTCTCCAATACATTGTTGATATTCTAATTTCTGGGGATTACACTAGCCTCCATGTATCCTATTGCTCAGTAAATCACAGAGTTAATAAAGTAGTTAATGAGAGATCACATTAGGGTAGGAAATCTGTGGTCCAGCCTGAACTATGTCTGTATCATCCTAGGCAAAAAGTTAGTGAGATCTCATTTCAACAACAACAAAAAAGCCAAGTATGGAGATAGCTATCTGAAACTCAGACTATTTAAGAGGCATAGATTGGGAGGATCAATGTCTGATGCTGGCTAGATTAAAAGCTGAGATGCATTATGAGAAATAACTAAAGCAGAAAAAAGCCTAAAGGTGTGTCTCAAGTGGTATAGTTCCTGCCTAGCGAGAGGGAAGCCCAGAGCTCAAGCCTTAGTACTGGGGCGGGGGGGTGAGGGAAGAAGGAAAAAAATAAACTCTATGTTGGTTTTTGAAGCTTCTTTTGATTAATATGAGTAAGATTGACAAGTGAATGCCTTCCCTTCCCACCCACAATAATGAACCTTAACACCAGGAGACATTTTTATAAACTTACTTTTTCTTAATATTGCAAATAAAACCGAGTAGTAGGAAGGAGCTCAGGAAGAAAAAAGAGTTGGGGAAGCAATTTAGGAACATATCTAAGGCATAAGGACTTCATCTCATTAAAAAAAATGTATCCCATAAATTTTTCTGTTTATCTCCATAAACATATATGTTTACCAAGAGACAACATTACAAAAGTACATATTTATATCCGGCTTCCAATTGGCATCTGAGAGTGATTTGGCATCACTTTGTGACACATATACACATAAATGTGAATATACGTGAATATATATGCACATGTTTGTTTTTTTAATATGTGAATCTGTAACCAGAGATCTATAATTGCATGGATATACTTGGATCTAATTTATCTCGTTAAAAATGACTACATTTGTGTAACTACGCATACTTATATAAAATTTATTCTTAGTTGGCATCAGCTAGCAAGTTAGCATCTGGTATAAACTTGCAGGTTTCCATTTACTGTTTGTGTGCCTATAAAGTATGAATACTACAATGTGTACATGTTCTCTCATGTCATAAGGTCCTTTGATAGTGATTAAGTAAGTGTAATTAAGACAGGAACATTTTACTTTTTGTATTTAATGCCAATCTGGGAGAGCAGTTTAGGAGTTTATTTATTATTCACTCACAGTTCCATGCATGGATAGTGAGAAGAAGAAAACTGGTGAATTCATCAAGATAGGAGTAAAATATTAATAAAGCCAGGGCTATATTTTTGAGAATAAGAGAACTTCTGTGCTTTGAGAAGATAACTCACAAGTTAAACAGTTGGTACACACACATGCAACATTTAATTAACAAATTGTAGTAATTATTAATTTCTTCTTAACAATATGGAAGTTTGTTATTAGTTGTGTGGGCAGTTTTCTCTAAAAAATTTTTTTAGTACACATAGTGAAAAGCAGATTTGTTTTCCAAATAATTGTTTTATTCACCTATATTGTAAGTGATATCTTACTTCAGTACCCTTAGTTTGGAGTGACGTTTTTAGCATAAAAGAATGACAATCCCATAACTCAGCTAATCATGGATGAGAAGGTAAATAAATGCTGGTCTCAATTATTAAAACATTACACTATAGTTTTTGGTGTATCTTCTAAAATATGTAATTCAAGTGTCATGAGTATTGTTTCAAGAAGTATTTTGAAAATAACATTCACTGAATAAACCAGTCTTGTTCAGTCTTCTTACCTTTGGCCCTCCCTCCTTCCCTTCCTTTTCTTTTTCTTTTTTTGCAACAGAGTTTTGCTATGTACCACAGAGTACTCTGCAATTCTCCATCCTTCTGACTTGGCCTCCCAAGTACTAGGATTATAGGCATGCTAGCAAAGCTGGTGTGTGTGTGTGTGTGTGTGTGTGTGTGTGTGTGCGTGTCTGTGTCTGTGTGTCTGTGTACATGTGCATGCACTTTTTGTGTGTGTGTGCTGCATGCTAGGCAAGCACCCTGAGTTACCTCTGCAGCCCTATACTTATTTATTCTTAAAAATTATCTTACAATCTACACAGACCTTTTGGATTTGTCTAAGAAGTAAGACTTATTTGCCACTGTAAGAAAATATACCCTAAGCTTCTTTTCTTTATCTGCCTTCACTAAAAATAGTGTGATTGGCTTTATACTTATTAATTCATTGAAAATGTAGACTCACTTCAGATGGACATTTTTATCAGAATAGTGCTCATTAGATTATTGATAAAATACATTTAGCATTTCAGTCATTGATAAGTGATACAGGTAATATTGACATGATACTTATTATTAGCACACTATAAAAAGAAATCTTCCAGAATCAAGAAATTACTTCACCTAATTCTGACTTTGCCCTACATAGATTTCACATAAATGTATATGTTTTGAGATTTTACATAAAAACAGAGATCTAAATTTCAGTTTAAATTGTTGGTAATGTTTTTGTTGGTGTGGGTTATGGTAGAGCAAGTTAATTAGTACCTTTTATTGCATACAATACACATGTGTCTTACTAATATTAAAGACTATATGCATAGTTGATCATATACTTTTTGATATAGAAAAAATAAATGAAGATCTGTCATTAAATAATACATTTAATATATAAGGGTAAAACTAGGAAAAAGTAATCCTTTTGCGGTCCATAGTTTTATGGTGTTATGTGCTTGTTCTGGTTGCTATTCATTTTGCATTTCCTGTATTCTTTTTTAAGATCAGTATGTTTTAATCATTATATGTTAGCATTAAATTTAATATTCTAATTTTCGTCATATCCTAAGATTGAGAATGTCTCTTTTTATTAAATGTTGAAATATACAAGTCATTACGTTGTATATTGCTGACTAAAGATATTGCTGAAGTGTAAAGGAGAAAAATCTAATTTTATATTGGCATAGAAAGAAAGCTTAACTTGTTTTCTTGCTTTTTTTTTGTTTTTTTTTCATAGAGAACACCTGTTCCCAGTGCCGAAGCATTCCGGTGGTTCTTTTAAAGCAGTAGTGTATCTTATTTTCAAGGCATTTGGAAATGAAGGGCAATCTAATGTCTTGTTTTAAGAAACTGCTTAGTCCAGCATTGAAGAAAATATCCAGAAATTATTTTCATTTTATGTATAGGGATTTCTTCAAAGAACAAAACAGAGGAAAAGAAAAGAGGAAAAAAACACATAAAAATAACATGGGAGCTTGGGAAATTGGCTAGTCTATTTACTTTTCAATACACTGATTCTTTCTTTGATGTAATTTAGCTCTTCTGGTGAAGTTGTTGTCTATTTTGAAAGTGGCTGTAAAAAAAAAAGTTTGGGTAAACCCCTGCTGTAAAATCATGTATCTTTGCAAAGTACATATCTAGACTTCCTTTTCAAATGTAAACTGTACAGATAGCAGCTTGTATTTTGTGTGTTTAGACACAAGGGGACAATCACGTCTGAGCATCTATGGAGATTCACAGTTTGTATACAACAGTCTGCTTCTGCAATTTAAATCTGGAGCAATAAATTTTAGCTTTAAACTTTTTTTTTTACCAGTTGTTTCTAGAAGTAGTAAGAACACTGGCACTGTTTTGCCATGCATCTTTCCTTAGAGACTTGAGGCCAAGTTTTACAAGACTTCAAAGATGATGCATCCAGCCATTACCTTCCGTTGTACTGTTCTAAGAGGGGAAGATGTAATGAAAGTTTCAATTAATCTTTTGAGCACTGTATTAGAGTAGTGGTTATGCACTTGCATTGCTTACAAGCAAACTGTACAGAAGGGGGTAGATCCCCAGTACTTAGTGTAGTTGGCTTGTCTTGAGTTGCACTGTAAGCCAGAGTACTCAGAATAGTTGGAAAATGCAGAATCAGTTGTGTAAATTTTTTGTTAACAACAACACAAATTTAAAAAAAAACAAACAACCCAGTGTTTCCTAGACTAAACATAAGATCTTAGGGGGAGAAATCCACGACTGATTTTTTTTTTTCCTAGACAAACATAGGATAAGTTTGTTTTTGGTTTTGATTTTATTTTTGTTTTGTTCATTTTCTTTTTGCCTATTTTTTGGTAGGAAAAAAATCCTTAATACACAGTATCCAAATGTATTAATACCATGTATGTTATGAAATAAGGTTTTAACACTTAAATACATGGAGACCTGGTTTTGGGGTGTTGCTAAGAATATTTTTAAGTTACCAAAAAAAAAATCAAACACATTTCTAAAAGTGAGGCATATGGTCTGTTTTTACCTTCTTTTCTCATAGCCTTCTGGTTGGACCAGTGGCTTTCCCCCCAATGTCTCAGTGGAAATCTCCACCATCCCCTTTCCCATTCTTGTCATTTACGCTTCCCTGAGATGGGGCCAGCCTGTGGAATTTCTTAAACGGAAGGCTGGCTCTGTCATCTGTCCACATACAAAGGAGATAGTGATCCATACAAGCTTGGCTACCATGGCCTATAGGGTTTGTTTGGCTTCTGAGAGTCAGCATTCCTAGGGATTTTTCCTTTTATTTTTTTTTCTTTTAATGAAACTATAAAGGTTATTTTCAGATTCCAGACTGGAACAGAGTTTATCAAAAAACAAAAAAAAATGCACACAACATTCAAGTTGTCATGTTACTGCAGCATTTTGTTCTGTATTCATGGAAGTCATGCTAGCTCACGACATTCCACAAGCCTGTTGAAACAGGTTGGTCAAACGGCCCAGGAGAAGAAAAATAACTAAACTATGAGGGAACAGAGAGAAGTTGAAGTGTAACATTTTTGAAAGACTGGCAAACGGTATTAAAAAGAATCTAGTTGTAGTTTTGAATGGGAATTGAGATGATAGGATTGGAATGAATTATTGGGAGGCAGAAGGAGCACCTTATACATCAGCAGAATACTTGGGGGAAGTGTGGGTACTGATCGTACAAATGCCACTGGGAGACAAAAAATGTGACATCACTGGCCTAGAACACCAAAGCAAGTCTACAGTAACCATCCCAGCACCTTTTGGAGAAAATCCATTATGTGCTAAAATCAGTCTGTGTTTAGAAAGTATAAATAATCACAAGTTATGGGGTACAGTACTGCATAATAATTTTGAGATAGCTTTTGACTCGATGAATATTCCTTTGAGGGTTTCTAGTTAGAATTTATATTTCTTCTATAGTACCAATGAGAACGAGTATAAGTTCTTCCTTGTTCCCCTTTATTATTTTAATTTGCTTTTGTTTACCAATTTGTACTAATGAGGTACACATAAGTGAAAACTTGCTTTCACACTTCAATGAGAAGCTTGCCTTTCTTAGGAAAATGATTATTACATAAATAAACAGACTTCTATTCAGGCTATATTGGGCATATTATTTTAAAAAGATCACATAGCAATGTACTGACAGTCTGAAATGCATTGTGGTGTTGCATGTCTTAATGTGTTTTTGGTTGCTTTTGAAAATAACTAGTGAATCTGTATCTATATTGTATAATGTGATGTTTATTATGTCAGTTCATTTTTTATCAAAGTAAATCTGTTAATTACTGAAAAAGAACAGAGTAGCTTTTCTTTAATTCTCACATATATATTTTACTGATGTGTTTCATATCACCTGCTTTGAATATTTTTGGTTACAAGTCTGTGTAGTGTGGGGTGCCATAAAGTTCTCATTGGTGATGATGAAAAAAAATATTCTTCTGGACTCCCTCTGTTTTTCTTCCAATTTGTTCATATAGTGAGAACTTATAAAGCATACAATGACAGCTTTAGGGTCCTGACTTCAAGGTTTACAGTTCTCATATTCTCAAATATGGATGAAATGTAACTTAAAAAAAATCCTCACTGCCTTTCCTATTCAGTTTTCAAGAAAATTCAAAATTCAGTAATCCAATGATAGAGGGTGTGGTGTGTACTTGCTAAACAACTTAAAAATTATATATCAGATGAACTAAAAACAGAGGTCCAACATGCTCTGGGTCCTGTCCTCTCAAAGGAAATATAATAATGTGCCAGTATTTAGGGAGATCAAAATAGTTGGGCCAATATAGTGAGCAAATGTACAGTTCATTATCACACAGTGCCCTAATTCATAACACAGACCCTCTCTTCTTGAACCTTCGACCAAAGTGGTTTTTTGATGGACTCTGCTTTGTGTATAAGCAGAGGTATGCTCACAAAGTAGTAACTTATCCATCCTTGGGGAAAAAAAATAAGAATTGTCTTCTCCCCATGAAAACATACATCACAAATGTCTCCTTGTTGCTTATGTTCTGTCTCCCAACTTTCTTCTTCTAAACACATGTCCAGCGAGTAAGAAATGATGGGCTTACTGTGAATTAACATTAAATAATCACAAGAAATATTCCCTTCCTCTCAGTCAGAACCGCTGGCACAGAAGTGTGCAATTAATGCTAAAGCATATGAAGCCTTTAAGCGGATAATATCAGTAATAAAATAATGGAAAAAAATGAAAGCAGTTAAACGTACACACTCTTTGGGGTCAAATCTATTCAGCCAAAAGCTATAGTGGGCCTTTGATCATGGTTAGATTCACGGTGATATCACACAGTTGGTTCTCATGTAACAGTTAAATGTTTCTCATTTTGTTTTTATTCAGTTTGGCATTTCACACTGAGATCTGTATTCTTCATGAATGAAATACAGCTACTGTGTTAGGAGGGACTCTGTTATCACAATGGCAAAATAGTTGAAATATTTCAGGAACTTGGGTCACTAGGTGGACTCCTGTCACTTTGTTCTCCTATCCTGAACTGTGCAGTTATCTATTACATTTTCTAATAGATATTTGTGTAAGGTGTATGTATGCTTGTGCAATTATTTAAAATGCAGTTTTGGAAAACAGTGTATTTATTAAAGAAAAATCATTTATGGGGCATGTACAAAACTGTAAAAAAAAACCTTAAAAAATCACTTCAATTTTGCCCAGTACAGTTGTTTTTGTGAAATTTCTGTGTTGTTGAATAAAGGACTTTAGTATTCAAAATATCTCTACTTTTCCATGGGTACATTTTTACTTGTGGGATTTTAAGTAGTGACTATAGGATCCTAAAAACTTAATTCTATGTAGGATAGAAAGTGACCTAAAAATTTAATTCTATGTATAATAGAAAGTTACATACTCTATACTCTCCCTTAGCTCAGTGGAACAAACATTGTGTACACAACTTTCATTAAACGTGCCATTGAAGTTCAGGGTATTTTTTTGGGGCTTTACAGAAAATGCATGCTCTTTGTTCATATTTGAATGATGTATCTTTTTCTTGAAAACTTAAAGGCCTTCTAAATTAAGGAGGAATTGAATGTACCATCCTCCTCTTTCTCCAAGATAAATTCTGCTAGGAGAAAATATGAAATATGCTTTATGACTATCTTTAGCTACTCAGCAATATTCTGAGATGAAATTTCATAGTGATTTTTTTATTTTGAAATATTGTAGTCTACCCAGGTTGCTTATTGGTTGGTGGTGAATGTGCTTAACTCTTATTTCACTGCTTATTAAGCCAAAGTTCTGATATTTTGATGCCTTAGATTCTATTTTTTTAATGGTGACTGTTGCCTGTAATCCTAGCTACTCAGAAGACTGATGAGGATGGTGGTTCAAAGCCAGCCAAGACAGAAAAGTCCATGAGACTCTTAACTACAATTAATTACCAAAAGAAAAAGTGGAGCATGGTTTTAAAACATGGAAATCACTACAAACATGAAACTTCATATGATTGACAGTTTGTATTCATAGAGTAGAATACCACCTTTTAAAAATACATTTTTGAGCATTGATATGTGACCTATTAGTATAATATTACAAATGTAGAAATCTTAGTTATTGCAACAGAATGGAATCATACAGGATGAGAAAGAAGAATTCAGTAATTTGGACTATAAGAACTCCAATATATTCTGCAATTTCTCAGGTAAGTCTGTGTTTCTATATTATTTCTGGGTGTAAGCAACAGCAAATATGATAGATACATTGAACTGGAATTTGACAAATGGTCCTTTCTGTACTTGAAATTGGCAAAGATACAAATACTTGAAAGTCCCTAGGTAATCCTCTTCAAGAGAATTTGAGTAACAAAATTTTGGAGAGATGAAAGAAGATTGCTGTAACTTATTTAGCCATCAAGTCACATAATTTTTATCGTTCATAACATATACTCTATGTTTAAAGTGTGTTTGTTGGTAAAAGTTTTTGTTCTGTGTTTTATGCAGAAACTACTCTTCATTTTTCCACTGTTCAGGTCATTTTTTAGAAAAATGTTATTTGAAATAAATACAATTAATACAATATGTGCATGTACTATATAAATAGAACAGTTACACAAGAATTTTATAATTTGAAATTTTTGCTTTTAATTTTAATTCTAATACCTCAGCTTGAGATCTACTTCTTTGTCTACGTGTTTTTGGCCAGTTTTTAAGTCAATGTATCTTAATATCAAGTATATATAAACTACCAAATTATCTTTTTGCCCAACTCTGTTTTGTTTAATGTATTATTGCAAAAGTTGTTCTGTTTTACAGAAGCAATGTGCATATTCCTTTCCAAAACACAACTTTTTAAAACGCACTCTTAAGTGTGAAGCATTTTTTGACATACAACTAAATTACGCTTTAATAGTTACACTATGGGAGAATCTTATGTCTTAGCCTTGTTCAAACTATAGTTTGCCTACAATTTTTATGTAAAGAGATCTATTTCAAATTCTATAACTTCAGGAAAACTTCACAGTTGCAGGTTTAGAAACATCTATTTAAATGGTGCTACATAACTGTTTTTATTACTCTATCTTCATTGTACAAAGATTCATTGTGATTTTCCATACAATCATAAGTGTATGTTGATCAAATTTCCCCTCTCCATTACTTTCTTATCCGCCCCTTACCCCTTTCAAAAACAATTTAGCAGGTTTCCTTGTTCTGTTTTCATACCTTCACATAAAGTACTTTAATCCTATTCACCCACATTCCATTTCCAGCTTTCTCATCCCTCCACAGTTCCCATCATAAATGGAGAGTGACTGCTCCCTCTGGCTTATATGGTCATAAAGCATTTCATTTGAAAATTCTTATTCCTTGTATGACTTGCATTATAACTTTATTTATTACAGTACTGAATTAATGTGTTTATGTATGAATGCACTTATGTGTATACACAGATCAGCCTCCTTGTGCATGTTTATTTCTGCTCAGTAGAGTTTAAGCCGTGTCCTAGAATAAGTAGTTAAGGATCAGTGTAGACTATTAAGATTTTTATTTAATTTGGAAGGATCCTTTTATGATTAAACAGTTGAAGTTATACTTGATGATTTAGCATCTTACAATATTTATCATATTCTCTGGGAATCAGAGACTTTTGAGAAGCTACAAAGATATTTTTATTCCTTTAAAATAATGTGTTTGTTTGTTTTTTTACTGAATTTCTTCTTCAATTTATAGTTCTCTACTTTCAGTTCCTTTAGGAACTGTGTTGAAAAATGATTTGCTCCTTACATGTATTATTCAATGTTAATATACTTTGGGCAGTTTGTATATAATTATGTGCTGTTAAGGTATCTGTATGTTTGCAATTGAAATACACATCTACCACTGACCATTTGATCTGTTTGTGGGTGATACAGAAAAGGCCTTCATTTCAAAGCAACATCCAGTGTATCCAGACCAGCAATGAAAACACTGCCAGTATTTTGTGTTGGCAGACTAGCAACCAATTTCATCTCACATTTATTTAACAAGTATGATTATGAATCTTCAACATGCCAGCTACTGAGTTTATGGGAATAAATTAAACATGGTTCCTGATACATTATGATCATCTTGGAATTTATCAAAAGGCTGAAATAAATATTCCAAGTATATAAAAATCCATGGAAAATATCCATTCTGAGTGGAGGAATAGCTGGAGATGATAGAATGAACTTTTCTTTCTTTCTTCTTTTTTTTTTTACTTCAGCTCAAGAAAGAGACTATAACCTGAACATTTCTGAGCTAAAACCTGACCATAAAATAGTGAAGACTATCATGGCAAGGAAGAAAAAGAATGGTTTACAAGACTTGAATGAAAAATCATACCTTAGTCAAAGCTACTTAGTTCTAATTCTCATTTCATCTCCCACCTTGTCTTTCTCTAGTCATTCCGTTATGTGCCTCAGCCCCTACAGACCTAAGGTACCCACACACAGTTCATGGGATTCCATGTGTATCATTAATGGCCCATCACTCTTAGAACAAATCCCGGAATGTGATCTATGAGGAGCTCTGACCCTGTAGTCTCTTCTTTCTAAGCTCCAGTCACTCAGCCTTTGTTCTAATGCAGACTTGCAAGATGGGCTTGTTTTCCTTCCATTTCAGACAGTCTGTTTACATTCTTCATACCCGATTCTTCTCCCTTCTCCTGGATAATAACTCTTCATTCTTCTGAACTTAGCGAAAGAGACATACTTTTAACCTGTCTAACTTTTAGGGCTATGTTTGATTTACCTATTAGAGCTTCTCAAATTATCTGACATCTCTTTATAGCAATGTTGATTTTGGGGGGGCAGTTGTGGGGGTTGAACTCAGGGCCTAGGTGCTGCCCCTGAGCTTTTTTGCTCAAAGCTAGCACTCTACCACTTTGAGGCACAGCTCCACTTCCAGCATCTGATGGTTAATTAGAGATAAGAGTCTCACAGACTTTCCTGTCTGGGCTGACTTCAAACTGCGATTCTCAGATCTTAGCTTTCTGAGTAGTTAGGAATACAGGTCTGAGCCCCCAACAGCCAGCTAAATTATCTCATATGAGATAGATAGATAGATAGATAGATAGATAGATAGATAGATAGATAGATAGATAGATAGATCTCATGTACTCTCCACTCACCCTAGGCAATGAGAATCTCTCTTTATTTCTCTTTCTCTCTCTCACCCACACAGTGTCAAATGGTACTAGTGTATATGTTATGAAAATAATTTAGGAGGTAAAATGACATCAGGAATGATTGTGAAGTGAAAAGGGAAGGAAGATAACAGGAGTTTGAATGGGCATTTAGGACAAACTTAAACTGAGAAGGAGATGTTGGAGTTGGAAGTCATGTGGCTATCTTGGAAGTAACCCAGTGCACAAAGGATAATAGCAAGTTGTAAAGACTCCTGACAAGAATGAGCCTGGAGTTCTCAAGGGCCAGCGAGAAGACAGAATAATAAAAATATAGTTAAAAAGAGACAAGATAGTTCCAAGTCCTTTTAAAGACTCAGAACATCATGGGAACTTTTTGGAGTGTTTGGGTGATGGAAAACATAATCTAGTGTGTATTATAAAAACAAAAACTACTTTGGCCACTGTGTTGAGGACACATACATGTCAGTTTGGGAAAGCCAATTTTTACTTCAAGTAGAACTAGAGTTGCAGTGGTGGAAATGGTGACAACGGTTCAATTGATAATATAAAATAAAAGCAACAGAATTTGCAGACATCTAAAGTAAGTGGTTGAAGAGTTCTTAATTATAAATAATTGAAAAAATAAACTTGCCATTTACCAAGTTGGGATGGCTAAATTTTGTTTTTTGGACCTACTGACTTTAAACTTCTCAGACATCCAAGGAAATAGTATTGTTTGTACAATTCAATGTATAGGCTTGGAAATCAAGGCATAGATAGATAGATAGATAGAGATAGAGATAGAGAGATAATAGATATACATGTGTGTGCGCGTGCACATGTGCGCGCACACACACACACACACATGCTGGGAATGCAAAGGATGTTAAAGAATAATGAGCCTGGAGAAGTAAAATTTAATCAAGGACTAGAACTGGGCTCATCTGTAACAGTTGTATCCTTAATTATTTTTTCCCATTAGTTTCTATATCCCACACTGATGAAAGTAAAGAATGAATGAAAAATTTCCACTTGAATTGTTTG